TAAACTTTTTTTTAGCTCTATCGCCATTTTCCAATGTCCATATATGTCTTTTGATTTGTTTTATCCAGATGGTAATAGCTTATTTTCCTTGCACAGACTCCATACCATCTCTAAATAGTAAATAATCCAGTGCAAGAAAAAAAGGGAACATTTGATTATTTGTATCATCTATCTTAATATTTTGTAATTTTCAATTTTCTGTAATACAACCTGTGCTGCCAGTCACAGCAGCCAGGAATACAATTTTGAACAGTTACTGTACAGTGGAGGGTCCAAGTTGAAAATGCTACCCTTTATCAATAAAAGAAAAATTGAAAACTAAACAAAATATAAGAATAAAACAACATTCAATGTAATAAGATTATATTCACCATTATAATATGTCATGTATTCATTTATGTTTATATAAAATTCACAGTGAAAAAAATAGTTGTGAGTTGCTCAAGCAGGCTAGGAGGCAACTATATGAAGGGGGACAAAGGATGGGATGGTGGATGCACTAGTCTCTAATGGTTTGAAGTGGGCTCAAAGGGAGAACCAGAGTAGTGAGAAGCCACCTGTGAGAAAACCCAAATTTCTACAAACTCTTTTCAGAAATGGGTGGTACAATATAAAATATAAGAGAAAATGCATTAATAAAAGGGTCTATAAAGAAAGGCTTACTACTGTCTTTGAACAGTTAAGATAAATGAACTAAATATTTCAAACTCACCTGCAGTGCAGTAAAGACACCTGTGTCTTTGTTGGCAAAACCATACTTATGTCCTGCTGTGACCACATTTTCATCAGGGAGCGTTTGTTCAAGAAACCAGTCAATGTTTTCTTCCTCCTCCTCATCACCTGCTTCATCATCATTCCCTGTTGACACATGATGCCATTTAAAATCTTTAATTCTAACAAAAATTAGACCATCCCAAAGTACCCCAATTTCTAATAAAACATCTTTCTATAGTTTTAGGGTACTGCATATCACTTGCCTATTATTACAGTACTGATCTACTGGTTCTCCATAAACATATTAAAAGAGATATCACAGGTGGATCCATAACATATTTAAGAAAAAACAAATCAATGCATGACAGAGAATGAATATAACAGTATTTGAATAAATATGACAAATTTAATGATGGAATGAATAACTGGAATTAGTTTCGGGACCCGAGCATTTTTGGTAATCTGAATTGGTATTGAATTGAGAGATATTTACCATAATATCCAATGCTCATAAAATTCCTTCAATGGTGAACAATAATTTTTTTTGTTCAAGTAATTATCAAATCTGTTTAACCAACTAACAACGGGTAAAATTTATGGCAGGTAAATGAGGAAAGGCATACACTAGTGTGTGCTGCTCTGTGCCTGTGTGTCTGTCTGGCTTATGATCAGGTTGTTACCATTATATATGAATGAATGAATGAGAGAGAGAGAGAGAGAGAGAGAGAGAGAGAGAGAGAGAGAGAGAGAGAGAGAGAGAGAGAGAGAGAGAGAGAGAGACGAGAGAGAGAGAGAGAGAGAGAGAGAGAGAGAGAGAGAGAGAGAGAGAGAGAGAGAGAGAGAGAGAGAGAGAGAGATGAGAGAGAGAGAGAGAGAGAGAGAGAGAGAGAGAGAGAGAGACGAGAGAGAGAGAGATGACTGACTGACTGACTGACTTACCACCAACAACTTCAATCAGAGGCTTCTTAACACTTGATGCCCCTTGAGGTGCCAATAAGGTAGTCAACATATCCAGGTTAGCAAAATGCTCCCCGGGGACCTGCTTCTCACACTGGATTACAAAAGCTCCTTGGTCAGCATCAAACTTGGCTGTGTATCTCTCTAATTCGCTATCAGTCAGCTTCCCTGAGAAGGTGAGTCTGGAATGCAATTAAATAACTGACTTTCTCTGTAGACATACTAGATATTAATAAAAAACAAAGAAAAAATGGAAATGAACTATCTATAAGTGAATTCCCCTTAAATGGATTTCATAATCCAAACTCACAAGAAAAAATATTGCATTTCAATAACCTTTTCTCCATTTTTTGTTGCTGCCTTTACACATTAGACTTTTAATTTAATGAACCCTGTTGTCGAGAATTGTAATACAATATTCTTGACAAAGAAAACATAAAAAATTAAATGCTTTACTTTGGTGAGACAAAGGTAACATTACAACAAGAATGGAAGTTTAATCTATCCTATCTTGAAATGCTCACTGTTTTTTAAGTAAAGTTTCCAAGATAGATAAAAAAAACTTCTAGTCCTCTTAAAATAATATCTTTGCACAGTTTGGTCAACTCAATAAAAATCTTTATGTATTCTTTATTAAGAACACTCTTACAATTTATGATAAAAAGGTACATGATTTCTGCAGAATGGAACTGGACAACCAACTAAATCATTTGACAACTAAGAATGCATATTTCTCAATGATTCTACATTTACACAAAGGAATTCTTCAAAGTTTGGGAACAAATCAATTAAAGGCTTAACCCTTTAGTTGATTTGTTGCCATGTGGCATCACATAATTCCAGGTATATTTTTCTAAAGCAGTTTACAATTAAAGAAAATGGATGACTGCAGGGCAAAGTAGCCAAATGACACTGTTTACAAGCCACCTTTGCACACTTTTGGTGAATTTTTACACCTTGGGAACACTTGAGATTCTAATAACTTATGCCTCTGTCCCATTTACAGTTTGGTAGCTTCATTTTTCCATACACATTCATATTTCAGAGAGAGCTTCTGAGTGAGCTTTGTCTGTAATTTTATTGGCTATGTATCAGTGCAACTAGGGATAGAAAAGAGGAACCTGAACTTTTTCCATATACATTCATATTTCAGAGAGAGCTTCTGAGTGAGCATAGACAACGATGTAAATTATAGAGTACCCATATGACAACTCAAAATTTCCCCCCCACCCTTTTGTGTAACCAAGTGGCTACTTAGCTACATTATGGTTGATTACATTCCTACTTTCATATACCATATGATATCCAAATACCTCCACAAGAATTTCTTGTATATGTGTATATATATGCCCTTACAGTTTACCTACTTTCCCATATATATGTGTAGCCAAATGGCTAATCTGTTGAGCACTGGTCAATGTAATGTTCCCATACACTGATTTCTGTAGTGAACATGATATTTATTTACTTTGTGAGGCAAGCCAAAAATACTGTGATGCATATGATAAAGTCAACAAATTATTTTTGTGAAGAAGAAAATGCATTCTTAAATGTTTATTACATGAAAATTGTGTTCTTGAATGAATGTGGTGTATTTTCTATACATTTCGAGGTATGAAAAATATTTTTCTGATGCAAAAATTTATCTTATTCCTCTATTCATAGTCAAGTAAACATCCTATGAAGGATAAAATAATTTCAAACTCACCACTATTTTTTACAGCTGTAAAACATACACCAGGTATTCATTTGGGTAATGTTGCCAATTAGTGACAACATGCAGTTGCAAATATGTGAACAAAAATAAGGTCTAGGAGCATATATACATTATATTTATTTTTATCATATTTTTCCTATGACTCAGCTAAGTTTGCCAATTTAAGGGATAAGGTAATAATATATCTTTACCTGACAATATATGTTTATGCTTAATGACAAAGTGGTGAGGATGATGAAAAGAAAGGAATGGGAATAAACTATTACAAAATAACTTAAATTTCAACTACAAATAATCCTACAGTCTCTAATGATAAAAAAATCCAATAATAGACCTAAACCATGATGGAAATTAAGAAAATAATAACACTGTCATACAGCCTTTACTTACCTTAGATAATACGGAGAGGAATAAAATGTGAACGTATCTTCATCAATATTGACTTCAGCATCAGAAATTCTTGCATAAGGAGCAAACACCGTAATAATTATTTGCTTTTCATCTTGTTTCACCTCGAACTTTGGTGTCAACATTTTTATTTTATTCTACTGCTTTTGTCTTACTGGAAAAAAGAAAGGAAATAATTAGAGGATCATAAAAATAAATACGTAAATGAAAATACGTAAATAAAAATAGTGTCTAACAATGTAATTCTTATTTTTCAGTATCTTTGAATCTTATATGACACTACAAAGTAATATGCTAATATCTGAAAAAGTAGAACTTTTCCAATCCATATATAAATCCTAATAGAATATTGTGGAATACTAATACTAATAACACAAATATTCATACTAACAATAGCTTCCATGCTACTTCTACACGTTAGTATTCTGTCATCACATCTGGTCTAGCACGGGTGTAAACTGAGGAAACTGTTGATGGGCACCAACAACTCTGTGATCATGTCTACTGGCCAAATCTTTTTATTCGTCATTATTAAGTAAAAAAAAAAAGAAAAAAAAAAACTTGGACAGACCTCGAAGTAAGAATGGCATGCCATTGCTTTGTCCCCACACTGGATGATAACCAACTTAGAGCTCAGTGGGAGAATACTAGCTTTGAAATTACAAGGTCCCGAGATCATGCCTGGTCAGCCTATTAGGCAACTTGGCTGTGCAATAATGGATTTCATGCTACATCAATTTGAGAGCAGAAAGGAAATGCCACCCACGCAAATCATCCCATAGCCGAGAATGCATATTCGCCTACTTCAGGAAGATGAACTATCTAACATAATAAAAAAGATCAGTGTTGTAAGTACCTCTGGATAGAAGACACTCTGCAGCTACGAGAATAACCATAATCTATTTTTTAACAGACACCGACGACGTTTGCGAAACATTTACCTAAAGGCGTTACTTTGGTTTTGCTTGAGTTTGATAACCTGTGGAAATTTTGGCGAGAATGAAAGTAGAAAAGACAAATAACACACCAACGAACGGGAGCATAACGACTGCCATCGTCTGATTAATTATAAGGTTTTATATTTACACCTACACTTACCCAAATTCTAGACCCTTCGGCTTTCCTTGTAATAGAGTAGCCACTTGTGGTTTACTTTCTCCAGTTTTCTCACGTGAGGCTAATGTTTACATGCTCTGACGGTTCG